ATGGAATATTACTCAGCAATCAAAAAAATAAACTCATGCAATTTGCAGCAACATGGATGGAGCTGGAAGGGATCATGCTCAGCGAAATAAGGCAGAAAGAAAAAGAAAAATACCGGATGGTCTCACTCATAGCAGGAATTTAGAAAACTTAAATAAGGGACAAGGAAAAAGAATAACTATAATGAAGAAATAAAAAAAAAAGAAAAAATCAAAATCAACAAGCAACTATAAACCAGAGATACACTGGGGGAGGGTGAAGAGGAGGGATCGGAGTCGAAATAAGGGGGGTACAATTGTATGGGGAATATAACCAAGATGAAAGTGCATACATTGTGCAAAAATGAAAAATGATGTAAGAAATATATAAAATAAAAAAAAATTGAAAAAGACAAAAAAAGAGATGACCTTGGAAAGATTCAGGGAAATTGATTTAGCCCATGGAGAGATTTTCTCTATAAGAAGATTTATATTAGCACCTAGCATCATGGTAGCCACAAAAGAAAAATGTATAGGAGATACACAAAAGAAAAAAGAATCAAAGGAAATCATTAGAAGAATTCATCAAATAACAAAAGAAGGCAGGAAGAGAGGAAGACAGGAACAAAAGAACTGCAAAACAGGAAATAACACAATGTAACAGTATGGCCTTACTTATAAATGTAAATGGGTTAAACTTGCCAATCAAAAGGCATACTGTGGTTGAATGATAAAAATGTAAGATCCTAGGGCCCCCCTGGTAGCCTATGGGCTAAGTCTCAGCACTATCACCACTATGGCCTGAATTCAGTCTGGCCAGGAGCTAACTCACATATGGCACAGCTGACCTCTCTTGTCAAGCCGGCTGCTTCCCTTAGCAGTGTATTTCAGTAGATCTGCCTGTTCTACTCCTTACTCTGTCTCTGGTGAATCCTCTTGCCCCCCACACCTCTGGCCTAAACTCCAGTTCTTCTACACACACACAAAAACAAGACCCAGCAATGTGCTGTCTGCAAGAAAATTACTTTAGATACAAAAACACAGGCTGACAGAGAAAGCACAGAAAAAAGATATTCCATTAAATGCTCACCACAAGAAAACAAAGATGTCTATACTTATGTCAGATAATATAGACTTTAATCAAAAAAACTGTGACTAGAGACAAAGGAGGTCATTATGTAATTATAAAAGAGTCAATTCAACAGGAAAATATCAAGATTAAGTATATTTATGCAATCAACATTTAGAGCACCTAAACATATCAAACATCAACATATCTAAAGGGAAAAATAAACAATATATTAACAGTAAACTTTAATACCCCAATTTCAATATGGCAGAAAAATCAATAAAGAAAAAATTACTCGAACAACTCTGTAGACAAAATGGACCTAATAAATATACATACAACTTTCTACCCAATAGCAGCAGAATACATATGCTTCTTAAAAACACATGGAATATTCTGTAGTATAAACCCTTAGTTAGGTCACAAAGCCAACAAATTGAAGAAGACTGAAATCATACCAAGTTTCTCCTCAGACATTGTTGAATGAAACTAGAAATCAATAATCAAAAACAGGAAAATTCACAAATATATGGAAACTAAATTTTGACCAAAGTGTATATCCATTGAGTAAAAGAGGTCATCAAAAGGGAATTTAAAAATACCTTAAGGAAAATGAAAGCAAAAATACAACCTCACAAAACTGGTGGGACACAAAAAAAGCAATAGTAAGAGGGGGTTTTATAGTGTTAAATACATTAAAATGGAAGAAAGATCAATTAAACACCCCAACTTTACAACTCAAGGAACAAGAAAAAAGAACCAAACCCAAACTTAGCATAAGGAAGGAAAAAATATATAATAAATATAATTACTTAAATAATATGATAATAAATAATATTAAATAATAAATGCAATCTCTTCATGCAACATGACTCAGCTCTTTTATTTTTTCTATTTTTATTTGTTTATTTGTTTTTTTTTTTAAAGATTTATTTATTTTTATACAAGACCCGGCATATAGGCCAGATGAGCGGGTGGGTGAGAGGATTCACCGGAGACAAAGAGGGGAACAGAACAGGCAGACTGACAAAATACACTGCTGAGGGGAGCAGTGGGCGAGACAGGAGAGGTCTGCTGCGCCATGTGGGATTCTTGCCTGCCACCTGGGATCGAACCCGCACTACAGAGGCTGCGGACAGCTTCACAGTGCGGCGCTCAACCACCTGCGCCACCAGGGAGGCCCCTATTGGTTTTTTTTTAAAGATTTATTTATTTATGCATACAAGAGCTGGGGTACAGGCCAGAGATGCAGGGGATGAGAGGATCCACCAGAGACAGAGTGGGAACAGAACAGGCAAACTGACTGAAATACACTGCTTAGGGGAGCAGCAGGCGAGACAGGGGAGGTCTGCCTCACCATGTGGGTTTCTCCCTTGCTGGCTGGGGCTCGAACGCATGCTGCAGAGGCTGTGAATTGCTTCATAGTGCAGTGCTTAATCCTTTGCGCCACCAGGGAGGCCCTGTTTATTTGTTTTTTAAAGAAAACAACAAAAAAATAGAAAAACAAAACCAAACCCAACACCATCCATTCTACTCCCTCCATCCTTGTTCCCTCTGCCCCCTCTTCACCTCTAGGTAAACTCCATTCAGTTATCAATATTCATTAGTTTTTTTGTTTGTTTGTTTTTTATTTAATTTTTAATTTTTTTTTATTTTTTACATCATTGTTCATTTTTTTAAATATTTTATTTTATATAATTCTTACATCATTTTTCATCTTTGTACAATGTATGCATTTTTATTTTGGTTATATTCCCCATACAATTGCCCCTCCTCCCCTTATTTTGATTCTAGTTCTTCCTCTCCCCGCTCCTCCCTAATCCCCCCCACCCCCGCAGTGTGTCTCTGGTTTATAGTTGCTTGTTGATTTTGATTATTACTTTGCATTGATTAGTCTTTTTCCTGGTCTCTTATTTAGGTTTTCTAGATTCCTGCTATGAGTGAGACCATCCGGTATTTTTCTTTTTCTTTCTGCCTTATTTCGCAGAGCATGATCCCTTCTAGCTCCATCCATGTTGCTACAAACTGCATGTGTTTATCTTTGTTGATTACTGAGTAATATTCCATTGTGTATATGTACCAAATCTTCTTGATCCAGTCATCTATTTTTGGGCATTTGGGTTGTTTCCAAAGCTTAGCTATTGTAAATAGTGCTGCTATAAACATTGGCATGCAGGTGCCCTTTGGAATTACTGTTTCTGTGTCATTTGGGTAAATACCTAGGAGTGGAATTGCTGGATCATATGGAAGCTCTATGTTTAGTAGGTCAAGAAATCTCCACACAGCTCTCCATAGTGGTTGGACCAATTTGCACTTCCACCAGCAGTGCAGGAGAGTTCCTTTTTCTCCACAACCTCGCCAACATTTATTGTTGCTAGTTTTTTTTATATGTGTCATTCTCACTGGTATGAGATGGTATCTCATTGTAGTTTTGATTTGCATTTCCCTGATTACAAGTGATGTTGAACATTTAAAGAAGTAGACATAAGACTTGAAACCATAAAATACATAGAAGGAAATATAGGCGAAACACTACATCACATGCACATCAAAGACATCTTTACAGACACATCACCCAAAACAGTGATAGTGAAGGCAAAGATAAACAGCTGGGACTACATCAAATTAAAGAGCTTCTGCACAACAAAAGAGACAATAACAAAAACTAAGAGAAACCCCACCAACTGGGAGAACATTTTTGCACACAACACTAATGATAAAGGACTGATCACAAAAATCTACAAAGAGCTGATGAGACTCAACAAAAACAAAGAAAATAATCCAGTCAAAAAATGGGCAGAAGAGCTAAAAAGAAACTACTCTGAAGAGGAAATGCAAATGGCCAACATTAGTTTATTTTTATTTTGTTTTGACTGTTTATCCACTTAGTTTCCTTTTAGTGCATTTGTGGGTGAACACTAACAATGTTTGTCTTTATCATTCTGACTAATTTCACTTCCCATAATCCCTTTAAGTTCCTTCCATTTTGCTGCAAATGGCTAAATTTCTTCTTTCCTTATAGCTGAATAGTATTCCATTGTATATACCACAGCCTTTTTTTTTTTTTAATAGAGGCATGTTTTTATTTATTTATTTATTTGTTTGTTTGTTTATACATGCACTGGGTACAGTCAGAAGCGTGGGAGGGTGAGAGAATTCACCAGAGCCAGAGCGGGGAGCAGAGCAGGCAGAAGGACCGAAGTACACTGCTGAGGGGAGCAGCGGGCGGCAGGAGAGGTCTGCGCACCATGTGGGACCCTCCTCCGGTGGCTGGAGAGCAGCCGGGGATCGAACCAGTGCTGCAGAGGCCGCGGGCAGCTTCGCAACCCATCGCTCAACTGCTGGGCCACCGGGGAGGCCCTATACCACAGCCTTTTAATCCAGTTATCTCATTGGGCACTTAGTTATCTTACATAGCTTAGCTATTGTAAATAATGAGCATTGTGGCACATATGATGCTTCAAGTTGATGATTTCATATTCTTTTGGATAATAATCAGCTCTTTTATTTTAGTGCTAATATCTGTTTTCTTTTTCATCAATTATTTTTGTCACAGACACTAACAGCCACCCAAATAGATCAATGAGTTAAAGTATAACTCCCTTGTTCTGTTTTGTACTCAAGAAGCCAGCAAAAGGAAAAAAGTACAACTCCATCTGAATGATTTGCCAATAAGTAAAAAGGTACTTGACTAATTGAGTCCACTTTATTTGAAAGGATTATGTAACGCTGTTTTCTCTGGCATCTTTGAAGAATTAGCATTCTTTGTTTGGTTCGTTAGAAAGTTGTACTCATTACTTTTAATTGCTCAGAACTTGAAATAGCTATATTTCAATAAATTGCTTAGGGTATTGATGAAATCATGGATCTAATAACAGATTAGACATTTATTTCTTACCAATTTATTGGCTCGATCCCAATAGATGATATGAAATTGTTGAAGGGGAATATCTACCTGGATCGAGACTGGCCCACTTCTTCAAGAATCACAGAAAAGTGCCTCCTAGATTTTTCCTTTTGGAATGAGGGTGTCGATAGTCTCTTTGAATCACCAAACAAAGAAAAAAAATAATCCTCTCCTTCCCCAATCGCTGAGGGTTCTAGATCACCTAACGATAACATGTGTTTGTTTGAAATTGCGAAGGTGCTGGCTCTGTCCAAAACAACTAAAGAGAGAAGGCAAGTGAGAAGGAAGAAAATACAAGAACATTAAAATAACTCAAGGCCCCATATCTTTATTCTTTGCTTCTGCAGAATTATATTCTTTATACATTTTACTGTCACTGTAAAACTCAACAAAGATCGTTGAAAGATTGAAACCAATGTCTATAAAATAATTTGTGATTTTTTAAGCAACAATTCCTATATATGATTATAGTTATCTTAACCTGTCAATTATATCAGCAAATGAGTATCTAAGTGATTACTTAGTTGTATGAGAAGCATTGTCAATTTTTGAGTAGGTAAAACATTTGATTCTCCCAAATTGATGTTATATATCAATACAACTTTGTTATTTCATATTCGCTATTCTCCCCAAATTAACACACATAAATTAAAGCTTCAAATGCTTAGTACTTTTGCCAGGTAAAGACTTAAATTTACTCTAATCAACTAAAAATCTTCATCAGATTCTAGTATCCTGTTAGCAATCTGTTCTTTTAAAATTCTCACTATTAAGATTCAAATACAAACTAGGTTTCATGTTTTTGCACAGAAAGTCCCACACTGGATAAATCTAATGATGTGTGTGCAAAGAGAAAGCTACACTACAGAGAGATGATGTGAGCATGATGAAATGTTGAGGGTAACCATGCCCTAGATTTAGACAGACCTGCCACTTACAGGTCAAGTGATTTAAACTTTTCACTATTTTATTTTCTGGAACATAAAGTAAGGACAACACTACATTGTAAGGCATGTGAGGACTGAAACAACATCTATCACAGAGTCTGGCATTTAGCACTCATTGAATGATGGCTATAATTGGGCTAATGTGACTCTGGGTCTGAAATCATCAAAGGATTAAGACAACCTAGAGTTTGCTTTAGCTTCAGTATCTTTAACAAAGCCAAATCAGGGTGAAGGGTAGGAAGGAATAAACAAAAAGTTCCTGCAGAGGGTTCTTCAAAGTATTTTATTTTGAAGAAATGTTTGGAATTAAATTAGTTTATTCCCAGTAGAGTATTTACTTAATCCTTAAATTCCTTTGGGGGAGGAAAATATAGAGCATCCTTTTGAACAGCTCATCCTGTTGGATGAAAACCTTTGAATTCTGAAAGAAAAGGAAACACTAATCTTGGTCCCAGTTTCATCTAGAGCAACAGGTGGAAATGAATCCAAGCAACAACTCCCAGTGGACTAGACATTGACCTACAGAAATGGAATCTACAGTAACTGCAGGAGGACACTGTATCCCAGCTCAGTGTCATCTGGCAAGGAGAAGACGCAGCATATTGTTTTGTCTTTAAGGAGTTTTTGCAGTTTAATAAAAATATAAGACCACAACATGATGATAAAATGCCAAAGGTTGGAAACCCTTCCTTTCCTAGATCTAAAATTTATATATGCATTTTTAAGCATATGGATTTCCATCATTGCTGAAAGTCAGTGTGAATGTAAGCTGCTTTGAAATTTTTATCTTAGGTATGTAATGAAACATTGGGATATGACAAAAACAGCAGTGATTCAAAATCCTACATGATACTGTCAAAGGGTTAGGAAAATACTGAACAAGTGGAATATAGATTTTAAAAAAAATCAGCTGTAAATATCCACAGAATGGTAGAGGGAAATGGAAGCATCTAGTGTCAGTTTTGAAACAAACATTAGTTATTGGTAACTGAAATACAGACCTTCAAATCTAGCTATTATATAAGAAGGCGCTGACAGACATGCCCAGATTCACAAGTGATTTTTATGGAGAATTTACTGTGTGCTAGATGATTTTCATAGATATCACACTGAATCTTTGGGAAGTTGCTATTTAAAGCCCCATTTTGCAATTGAATAAACAGGACTCCGAGATGCTAAATACTTTACCTAATGTCTCCCATTGGGAAACAGAAAAGTAGTTTGGACCTAGATCCTCCATTTCTAAGGACATTCATCTTTTCAGTAAGCCATAATATCATGCTCTTCAAAATTCCCTGAATATATGAGAGCAAATTTCCTATTTTTTTTTAAGATTTATTTATTTATGCATAAAAGAGCTGAGGTACAGGCCAGAGATGTGGGGGGTGAGAGGATTCACCAGAGACAGAGAAGGGAACAGAACAGGCAGACTGACTGAAATAAACTGCTGAGGGGAGCAGCGGGTGAGATAGGAGAGAGGTCAGCCTTGCCATGTGGGTTTCTCCCTGGCCGGCCGGGGATCGAACTCATGCTGCAGAGGCTATGGATTGCTTCACAGTGTGGTGCTTAACCCCTTGTGCCACCAGGGAGGCCCCAAATTTCCAATTCTTGTACGAGTGCTGTGTGCCCTGCTGGTGGCTGGCCAAATATGACTTCTTCCCGATAGTCCTGTTTTGTTTTCCTCTCCTCCAAAGTCTCTATTGCCACCCCACCCCCTTTTCTCTTCACCATCTTATTGACTACTTTTCCTCTTTCTCTTACATGTCTTTTTCTTAGGTAAGCCATAAGTGTCCTAAAAGATAAAATACACAAAATATTGCTTAATCCTTCTCACAGCATTCAGAGGAAGGGTAGTTAATGCTACTCATTCAAATGCATAGTATTTGAATATTTTGCTTACCTGGGCTGTTGTCTGATTGGGAAGCCGAGTTAGCGAACTTCTGTCCAACTGTTGACACTCCACTCATCTGAGAGCTGGACAGATAGTGACTGAGAGGCAGTTCACAGGATAACACCTGTGACACCGGCAGTAAGGTGGAGCTTGAGTCTGTTACACCTGCATAAAAATGTACTGTGGAATGCTGTTTCATCATGACATGGCCATTTGTGTCTTTGCTTCTGGGTACAAAAATGAGTATAGCAAACATAGGAAAGTCAGAATGAACAGACCAGAAACACAAGAAGCAGGAACTATCAAGTTTACTCAAGGTTCTGCTTTCCAAAGGAATTACGCATCTAAGATGAGCGCGAGATCATTTCTATTTGTAGTTTTTACAATCCAAGCAAACACTTTAATGTGAAGACGTATTTCTTTTCTTTTTTCTATTTAAAACTCAAATTCCTACTGTCAATGGCTCGAAGATGTGTAAAAGTAGCAAGAAAACTAAAATCACTATAATGCCACCAACCAGCCAAAACCTTTTCCATTTTCTGCCAGGCTTTTTGACACATTTTCTATTCAGAATTAAGATTCTATAAGTCATTGATAGCATACTTTTAATCAATTATTATATCCTATTTTTCCTTACCATAGAAAGAAACATTATTATAATTCCTGTTGAATATATCATTGTTTACTACACCCTTGTCCTTTAATTCCTGCTGGTGCTTAACCAATATTCCTTTATTTACAAAGATTATATAGTTAATGTCTACTTTCAAATCAACTCTGCAAAGCGATAACTATAAATACAGTCTGTATGTGTATGAACTTGTATATGTGTGTGTGTGACTATTGAAGAAATTGTAGGACAGAGGGAGAAGAGCCTATTTCCAAGCATTTTTTGTGTAAATATCTTTTTTACCTTTTCTGCAAATACTGATCTTATTTTCAATATTGTAATTTAATTTTTAAGATACAGAGACACAGTTTACTACCTCCTCCATCGCATATCTTTTCTTCACTAAGACCTACCCATGACTTGACTTCCAGTTTTTTAGTTTGAATTATGACATCCCTTCCCCCGCCCCAAATACCTCAGGCTGTTGCCCCAACATCTGGAGTACCACAAAATCTTTCACCTTTGGTTATATCCAGTCTCTCTTATGTCCACACTGGCCACACCTCTCATACTCACCATGACTGATAATCTTCCTAAAATCATGTCTCACCTTATTACACACTTGCCAAAAATCCCAAGCACCTCATTAGCTTACAAATTTAAGTTTTAGCTCTTAGCCTCAAATTCATAGAACTCCAGAATCAATCTTCAAGTCTGCTTCTTTTATATCCTTTTTTCCACATGAAACAGGTGGTTCTGCTCACTGTTCCCAAAAGCCCTGGGCATCTCCACTCTGGGGCCAGGGCACTCTACTATCTGAATGTTTCTCCCTTACCTAACTTCTTTCCACATCCTTTAAGAAGCTACATGTTAGGGGCCTCCCTGGTGGTGCAAGGGGTTAAGACACAACCTATGAAGCTGTCTGCAGCCACTGCAGCACAAGTTTGATCCCTGGCCAGGGAGCTACCCACATGGCACAGCAGATCTCTCCTGACTTGCCTACTGCTCCCCTCAGCAGTGTATTTCAGTCAATCTGCCTGTTCTGTTACCCACTCTGTCTCTGGTGAATCCTGTCACCTCCTTACACCTCTGGCCTGTGCCCCAGTTCTTGTATGCATAATAAAATAAATCTTAAAAAAAAGAAGCTACAGATTAATCTTCTTTATCAAACTCTCCTAAATACACCCTCTCCAAGACCCCTTCTTTACCTCACATAAAGTAGGGCATAAACAATAAACATAAAAGACACAGTAGTTTCTCTCTTTGGACATCTTGAGCAGATAAATAAATCTTACTTGGAACAAAGATTTTCCTCTTTGATAAAAAGAAAAGCATTTGTTAACTAGTGTGCAGTCATTTGAAGTCCTAAATCCACAGGACAATTGCTTTACAATTAAAGTTCTTGTGGCATGGCCTGTGGAAAGGCCTATAAGAAAGAACCCCATTGTGTGAGTCACCAGGAGGCTCTTCTCAGTAACCTCAAAGCCTGCATGACATGAGTGTGTGTGTGTAATGCTTGCACTCTGGGCTCCCCAACCTTCTAGCTAGCTCAAAAACAGAACAAACAACCAGCTCAGCACCCCTTTCTGACAGCCACACACAACCATCCACTGTGACTCAGAAGCTAAGAATTTGCCTCCATGGATTATTTCCATTTGATATTTTTTTGTTTCCTAGAGTTCCTAAGAAGCTATTACATTGAATTTCTAGTTTTGGGGTTTTTTCCTCCCTCAAATGTTTCCATAGGAAACAAGCACCTGGGTTCACAAGTCTTGCAGACATCAGCCCCGATCTCTTTGTTAACCAAGAGGTTTCACCATCATTTTGTCCTACAGTTTGTAAGTAGCTTCATCAAAAATACTGTATCCGGAGAACCTGGTATTCAAAACCAGATCTTTCTCTGAATATACTATTTGAAGTCATTTCAGGAAAAAAAAAGTTTTAAACAAGTTTTAAAGTCATTGGCTTTGAAGACCGCACTGATACCGAGCACTTGTCTTCGTGAGAAAAGTCCTCGCCCAGGAAGACACACATTGGAGTGTGGCTGATGGCAGTAGGAAGATTTCATGCCCGTCCAACCTGAGACAGGATCACAAGCTGTGACTTCTCCCTATCATGGGTTAGAGGAAACAGGAAACGGACTTTTCTCTTTTTAAGCTTCTTACATCTGGGTTCCATTACAGGCTAACTGGCTATGTCTTTCAGCATGTTCATTTTATAAGCTCCATATTTTTTCTTCCTCCAACAAAACAACAGTTTTTCCACATAAATTTAATTCCACAAAGATTCCCATCAAATCTTTGCAAAAGTTGCCATCACAGAAATCTGGCCTAGGGCCATAGCTATTTTTGCAGTTGGCCTTATTAGCTGCCTACACCTCAGGGAGGGGTAAAACATCCCAACACTGAGGCATGTGATGCAGCCCATCCTCTGAACCCTGCACTCATTATCAACTAGACTCCTTCTAGAAGACAACTGATGCTCTCTTAGCTTTCCCTCTCACACCTGAAGTATACCATGCCCTTCCTTTTTTGGTATTTTGCAATTGATTAGCACTAAACCAAGGTCATTTATAGAAACCTTCAGCTTTTCAATATTATTTTGGGACATGCTGCATTGGCATTGCTGACAATAATCATTTCTCAGTGACCTCTAACAACTTATATATAAAAATGGTCTTGAACTGCACAGTAAACCCAGGACATGGAAGACCAGAGTTACACGACTTTTAAATTGTCTATCTTCAACACTAGAGGTCATTTTTAAGAAAACTTTGGCAAGCCAGTGCTTTGGTTGACAAAATGATTCACACTAGTAGTAAAGACTGGGAGTTGTGTTCAGTTAACATCCTCACAACAAACTGGACACTTGGTTCTATTTTTTTCACCATTCATGTGCAATCCAGCCTGATGCTGTTATACGAACCAGATATCTGATGTACTATTTTTCCTGTTTGGGTCAAAACCCAGCACGACTGCCTTTAGGTACTAATATCATGGATACTGAAGTGACATTCCAAGGCAACTGCTGAGGAGCTGTGATGCTGTATTCATGTGTTATGCTTACCACAGAATGTGGAAAGTTTTACTTTTAAGTGCATTGGTCTCTGACAAAATGGTGCAAATTAATGTTGGGCTCAACTTTTTGTCTTGTGGATAGTTCAAAGTTCTAGAATCTAAAGAAAGATCCAACACCAAGACTCACAGCAGCAAAGACCAATACATGCTGTGATGATCCTCAAGAGAAAAGCATTTTCTGTTTCCTATAAAGGGAACAGCACACCCCTCCCCCAACCCTTTCAATGACATCTGATGAGGAAATCAAAGTTGACAAGTGGCTCAATTTTCACCACAGGGAAGACCTACATGCATACATCATTAGCAAAATTGTGTTGAATTCTCTATTCTATGTTCTTAGCTCATGACCTTGTGCCCAGTGCTGCTTCTACTACAACAGGGGTGTAGGCAGTTGCTTCCTATCCCACATAATTAGTCACCAATAGTAGTAAAGATGGATTGGTTTTTCATACTGATCTTCCAAAGTCCTGTCCACTTTTCCCATTTCTAGACATGAATGCCTACCTACCTATCACAAGAAAATGAAATTTGACTATGGAGAACATTAGAAATACATCCAGATAATGTGTGGACAACATGAATGCCTGCTCCCCATGATTCATGTAAACTGAATCAATGGTTGGATTCTAATAGAAGGTCCTGTATAATCTACAAGTTCCAGTGACAGATTAACTCTTATGCATTAAGAGGACGGGTAATATTTTTCCTGGTTACGGTTGTCATGTTTCTAACTTCTAAGTGCACCAAGTCTTTATTCTGTGGTCTGAACAAAAATGGATGTATCTTAAAAATAACAACAACAACAATAATAACAGTAGTAACAACATCCTCACAGACATCTCCCAAATTTTTTACAAACTCTTTGTCCTCATATTAGGGAAGCTGTTCTACAGAAATTTTTAGCAAATTGTCTTCACATGTTAGAGATGAGCGCTGGCCTCTCAACCAGGTTATGATGGCCTCTCAACCTCTGACATGATGGCATTCTGTCCAGGTGAATTTTTATGTTACTCAAGGATGAGAATCTTGTAAAAGGGTGGTTCGCAGTTTACAGATCATATATTCTAGAAAACTTGTAGGATATACTCTACAAGTTTACAAGATGTTTTGGAACAGGAAGTCAAGTGCTTAATCATCATCCTATAAAACTCAGACCCTTCTCTCTCTGGGCTGCTCTTACTGTGCTTGAATCTCCAGTTTGCCATCCAGCCCACAGATTCCACACTGCTGGGCCTCTGGTGACTTCTCTCTGCTTTTCCTGCCTTCCATCATGGCTTGAAGGCAAGTCTCTTTTCTTTCCTGGGAAGACAAATCATGAAATTAGACTACGGACACAGCTAAGGTCCAAGGCACATTTCTTTTTTCAAGCAGCCTCATCTGTTAACCTCAGTGCCTTAAGGCACCTGATGCAATGATTTCTTTACCAAGTTGTTGCCTAAACCGGAATTCTAATGTGAACATGTAATTACTGACATAGCCAATCCTGATAATGGCTAATGTCTCAGACAAGCCAAGGGGAGGGGGTGTGGCATTCACTGGGAGCAGCTCTGGAGGCAGGTGATAATCCAGCAAAGCCACCTTTATGACCACCACTTTCCCAGCTGGCTAACCCTGCTGTTAGAACCCTGTGAGGTAATGTCTCCATAGTTACAAAGTTCCACTCTCTGAACAATTACTATGTTAATGATGTACCACTTCATGGTTTGCAATATTAAATAACTAACCTGGTCTTAGGCCAGCCACATATCCCCTGAGACAGACTTTGCCAAAAGTGTTTGGCAACCAACTATGAATTCCTGAGGGTCATGGCTATTGTGGAAATATTGGAGAAATTTATCCCAACTGGTTTTTGTTTTGTTTTGTTTACAAATTCTTTGGACATGGAAACAGCTAGGCAGCAGGAACCAAAAACTTTGCGTTCCAAAGGCAAAAATGCACCTGCTGATAGAAATAGGAAGGGGGAGGGAGAGAGATCAAAACAGGGGAGGGAAGAGCATAAGAGACTATGGTGATGGTGCACAGGTGAATTGGTGGGAATTTTATGGGGACTACACCTGAGAGGAGAAAGCAGGCATTGTAAAAAAATGAATATATATATATATTACATCATTGTTCATTTATATATATATAAATTCATTGTTCATTTATATATGTAATGCATATACATATAGACACACATATATTACATATATATGTGTACATGTATATACATATATGAGAAATAGTAAAATCAGGGCTAAGAGAACTAAAATTTTTTCCTAGTTATGCCAGCAACATGATTTAGAGGAAGTCACTTTATTTAGAGTCTACTCTGAGTAAATCCCACTTAGTGTTTCAAGTTAATGATGGTATGGGAATAAAATTAACACACACAAAAAATTAACACATGTGAGAGTACATATAACTGTACACATTACTGATAATGATTCCTGGGTGAATAACTTCAACATTTAAATGAGCATCTACTTTGTACAAAAAATTGACTGGATATTATAAAGAAATATTTCCTATTTTGAGGAATAATGACAAAATACATTTCAAGATTCAAAAAGGTTTTCCATTTTGGTATGGAAATCAATATTTAAATTCAAAGAACAATGAATAAAGTAACTTTGAATAAGAGAAAAAAGACAAGTTTATCACATTGCGAGGCAATTAACTAGCAGGCAAACATGTGACTGAATTCTTCACTAAAAAGAGAGAAGTGCAATTCCTTATCAGCTTTATGAGTCAGTGATGTAAGTATGGCATAAGATTTATAAATTTATACTTATGCTAGAATGATGAATTTATTCTTGCTTCCCACTATCCCACTTGACTACACATATTAGCATGAAGTCTTTATGATATCATTGTTTTTTTAAATCAGAAAGCCGATCACATTTTCCAATATGGTTTGGAGAAACAAAATTCCATCCAATGAGAAAAATCTTTGGAAAGCTTTGAATTTCTGAATGTTTCAACCATCACTTTCCACATGGGCTATGTTTCTTATTCCTTTTTTTTTCCCAAAATTATAGCATATTATGCAACAAAACCAGTTTTCTCCTTAGTTGGTGCTCACACTAAGTCAGTATATCCATCAGGGTGCAAAGCAAAAATTAAGGGCATTTTGTAAAAGTGAGGGGACATTAATAATAGTTAAAAAGATTTGGCGGGCTGCTAATAGCATTTGGTGCGCAGAAGCCAGAGATGCTAGACTTTCTGCGGTGTGGCAAATAATCCTGTTTAGCCAAGAATTTCCCCAAGATATACATTCAGATGAAAAATAGTTTATAACTATCTGAGCCATAGTCATATCTAACTCCATAGTCATATCAAACTCCATAGTCATAAAAATACATACAAATTTTGCACATATTTGACATGTCAACATTTTTAAATTTTTTAAAAAGATTTATATTTATGCATACAATGGGGTGTAGGCCAGAGGTGTGGGGGTGAGAGGATTCACCAAAGACAGAGCAGGGAGCAGAACAGGCAGATCTATTGAAATACACTGCTGAGGGGAGCAGCAGGTGAGACAGGAGAGGTCTGCTGCACCATGTAGGTTAGCTCCCTGGCAGGAGCCGGGACTGAACTCATGCCACAGCGGCTGGCTATAGCTTGATAGCACTGAGACTTTAACCCCTGTGCCACCAGGGAGGCCCTATATGCCAACATTTCCAAGCAATAGCTATTTTTTTTATTTCTTTATTGGGAAGCTTGTGTATTGGCTTGTTCAGACATTTCTAAGAGTGGTTCATCAGTTTGGGAAAATCATATCATTTATATTACTTGCCAGCACTCACAAGTCAGGTATCATCAAGATATCAGTATTAACAATAGTGACAACAACAAAACCTGAATTTGATGAATCCCCAAACTTACATAAAATACAGAGGACAGAAAATGTTAGCTAACATAAGCTTTGGAAACAACCCAAATGCCCCAAAATAGATGACTGGATCAAGAAGATGTGGTACATATACACCATGGAATATTACTCAGCATTCAAAAAAGATAAACACATGCAATTTGCAGCAACATGGATGGCGTTGGAAGGGATCATGCTCAGCGAAATAAGCCAGAAAGAAAAAGATAAATACCGGATGGTCTCACTCATAGCAGGAATCTAGAAAACTTAAATAAGGGACCAGGAAAATGAATAACTATAAGAAAGTGAAAATCAAAATCAACAAACAACTATGAACGAGAGACACTCTATGGGGGGTGGGGGGCGGGGAGGGGAGGGATTGGGGTCAAAATAAGGGGGTTGCAAATGTATGGGGAATATAAAAATAAAATTTATTAAAAAAAAGAAAAGGTTAGCTAACAGATTAAGGAATTTAAAAGAGCCCCTTTGTAATTTGTGGCTATGACTTCTATTCTAATTCAAAAGTAAGCTTTAAAAAAAGTATGAGGCATTGGAAAAGTAAGGACACTTGATATTTACTGATATTAAACTGCTCAATATTTTAGGTGTGATATAGCACTACACTGCATTTTTAAAAAAGAACCGTTTAAAGGTACGTACTGAAATAGTCATAAGTGAAATGACATAATGTTTGGATTTGTTTCAAAATAATACCAAGACTAGGGAGTACGTAGAGATGGAAATGGAGAAAAGGGTCCATGGCTTATAACTACTGAAGCGAGGCGATGGATACATTGGGGGGTTAGTATACATGAAGTCTATATTTTTCTGTAAGGGCTTGAAATTCACCGTAATAAAATAGGTGAAAAAGGGAAGATGATTTGAGGCTGGACAGACTTCACACGTGAATAGCATCACTGCTGTGGCTGTCTTTAAGGAAAGATAGAGGCTGGCAAAGCTGAAAGGAAGAGGCAGGCACTGATGGCTGTGAGTTACGATAGGACAGTCCCTTTTCACGTGGGTTCTTTGACTAAAGCTCCGCACACTTGGGAATTTCTACACTCTCCCAAATGAAGAAGTGGAAGTTGGATGAGAGGGATACGTCTCCCAAGGTTAACCGGCTGAGGCAGAGCTAGGGTTTGTTTTCACATTCATTTGTTTCAAAAACCCTCTTTTCTGCACTCCCAGTTTCTCTGTTTCTTTCTCATCTGACAGTTTCCTAACTCTTGCCTTGGGACCTGTCTAACTGCTTGCACCTCCTGGACCAGCTTCTTCTCATCTTTGCTCTGGTCTGAAATCATCCCTCACCCTTTGCTTCTTGACCCTGGGTCAGTTCTTTCGAGGGCTTTAACCTCTGCTAGAAAATAGAATTTTTCATGAGAAGTTGAAATCCCTGAACAGTAACTATAGGGTAAAATAGGATGATGAACTTTTACCTCAATTAAGAAAAAATTAAAAAGTGGCAAAATACCATATTTGACCATTTAAAAAAAGGCAACACATTACATGTACATAATATTTAAAAAACTGAAAAGCACAAAGAGCTGGCCTACCCATTCTAGTCCTATCTCCACATATGGAGACCATTTGCACAGTAGGGGATTTTATTAAATTGGTAATATAAATAAAACGTCTTGTGTGAAGGAAGGCTGCTTATGTAAAGGAAATTTTTCTCTCCTCTCAGGCCATGAGTGGGAATTTCCATATCGAGAATACACAATCAAGGATTACAATTTAAAACACGCCATGATCCATTATCTAAGATTCAGAGAATTTGTATATATAGGAATAGATTCATATTTGCACCCATATAAACCGTCTAAATTCCTATGTTGTAAAGCATCTTGTTAGCCTAAAAAATATATGGAGATGATTCACTCCTGTAACTAACAGCCTGATCATAGATACTATTATTTTATCTTGAAGGTAGGGTCATGATAAGGTCCTACTGGAGGTGCTCCCTGAGGCTACAGGACAATTTATTGGGTGGTTCAAGTTTCAGATAGTTGGTCCACAAAGCTTTCATGGGCTTTCCTAGTCAAAAAATTCTCTCACAAAACACCAGTAGGATTATAGATCTACATGTGAAACTACTACATGTCAAGTAGTGGTTTGAGTTCTTGGACTTTTTGTACCAGTTTCTGTGGTGGTTCACAGTAATCACACAGGTACATTTCACATAGAACACAGGCATTTTGCAATTAGCCTTTAACAACAAATCTTCTGTTCATGTTCTTTAGCGGGGTAGAATGTTTATTCAAAGACAAGGCATCTCACATTTGTTCAAGGACATACTACAGAACATTCGGTATTATTTGACGGACACCATGTATTTTGCAAAATATTTTTAAAAATACAAATCAATATATTTTTATTTCATCTACACACTATTTTTATTAGCCAAAAGAAATCTACTTTATTTCACTTATATGCCACATAAACT